TCACAGGGGCCAGCAGGCTCTGGGATGGGGGGAGATGGGGGATGCTAGCCAGCCACCTTCACACTGCAGTCATTAACCTCAAGCAAGCACTGGCATGAAGCTCCTGCTCTTGCATGACTGCAAGCATTCCTCTCCACAGAGTTTATCATAAAGCACCAACTATCCATAAACATCTCTGGGAAGGGCTGGCCTGGGTTCACCTTCATGCAAGAAGGATGTCAGGCCCTGGCAGGATTCCAGTCATTCATGTTTCCTTAAACCTCCCGATTTTTGTCAGCTCTGACTCAAATGACCTTCTTGAAGAAGAAAAAAAGAAAAGAATCTTCCATCACACCCTTTCCTCCCCTCCACCCAGTGGGGCACTTCAACACAGCCTGATCACTGGGGACAATTCCCATGGTGGCACCGAGTCATGGCTTCCTCTGCTACCTGCACAGCCCCTTTCGCAGCAGAGGCACTTTCCCGCTTCCACCCTCCAAAACCTGAACTGTGCTTCAGCATGGTGCTGTGATGTTGAATTTGCAGCACATCCATGCAGAGGCCCAGACACTCATCCTAAATACACTAAAGCTTTAAGCACAAGGTCATGAGCCAAAGTGAGAAAAATCCATTTAACCTTCCTCCTTGGAGCCGTTTGCCACATTTCTGGTGCTCAGACCCAGGTCTGATACGGGAACCCTCAAGTGACTTTTCCTCCTCTTCCAGCTTTTCCCTCCACCAATTCCAGAAAGGAAAACTACTCCTCCCTAAGGAGGCAGGAACAGACACAGCACCAGCAGGAGCAATTCAGACCCAAGTGCTCCAGCCCCAATCTCTTCCCATGCTGTGGTGGGAGCCCTGATCCCTCTTGCTGATGAAGCTGTTAAGATTAGGCCACTGTTAGCACTGAGATGACATGATGTGTTTAATACACTCACACCAGCTGGGTGGCCAGCCTGAGCCCTTCTTTAAAACTTCTTTGCTGGCTGTGAACATTCTTCCCTCCCTTCTTCCCATAGGATTTTAACATCCCTGTGAGGAGAGCAAGCTCCCAGCCAGCAAAAGCAAAGACCAACAGGCTGCTTAATTAAGTGCCACTCTCCCGCTTGCCACAGCCGTGCCAAATGCTGGAGAAACTTGATTCCAGCTGGTAATGAAGCACTTATGGCTCCAGAGGGACCAAGCCAGCAGGGGAGGAAGGGGCTGACACCATAACCCCCTGTGCCAGCCCCTGCTGTTCCCCTGCCAAAGCACCACGCATCAGCTCGAGGCACTCATGACCCCCCAGAGGGACAAAAGCTTTCAGTCCCTTCAATTAAATTTGAATTGGTGCAAGAGCTCCCTAGAGGGTCATAGAGAGCAAGGAGAGGCCTTGTTTGGCAGCCAAGAAAAGCCCTGCTCTCAGACAAGCCTTTGAGGGTGTTACCTATTTCACAGGTATCCAAGGAATGTGCAAAGCCTGGCTGCCAGGTATCCTGGCCTCATCCTGCACTTGCCCTGCAGACCCTGCTGGGTCCCACGAGTTCCTCTTTTCATCTTCCATCCTTTCCAGCAGCCTCAAACCTTCAAAAGGAGGAAATTAGCGATTCTGTAACATTTCTATTGCCCAATCTACCAACACAAAGGAGGGAAAAGCAAAGAACTGGCTCTCACCGGGAGCGCAAGCAGGTTATTATAGCAATTACATACAATAAGGGCATGTATAAAGAGGAAGCCACTAAAAATGGGCTGAAGCTTTAGGTCTGTGCTCCTGTTGAGACAAGCTGGGCAACCACTTACTTTGCAAAGGTGGTGGGGAAGCAGAGGCTCTGTGAGCCCAGAGAACCTCCCCACCAGGTCAAACTGCAGCCAGCACCACAGGTGCAAGTTCTGCACCAGCCTTGGGTGCAATCCCACCCCACAGGGTGCCCAGGGCAAATACAGAGGCTTGGGAGAGGAGGGAGAAGGTAAACTTACAGCAGCTCAGTTTCAGCAGTACTGCAGCCCCCAGAACATTCCAGGCTCTGGTCCCCAGCACTACAGCTCTGAAGGCTGCAAATCCCCAGGTGAGCCAAATGCAGCAGCTTGCAAGTGCTGTTAGCTCTGGCCTAAAGCCAGAAGTTGCCACAGAGAAGGACAAAGAGGAGAAGCAGCTCTCAAGGGAAGCTGGTCATTGAAATTCCCCTTCCAGAAAAGCAGTGAGTGACCAGAGAGCCACATTCCAGGCTGGCCCTTGGTGGGAGGAGGGAGTCCAAGCACACCCCTGCCAGATGGGAATTCTCCAAGAGACACAGCAGATGCCACCTACGCTGGCTAACAGGATCAGCACAGTGTGTGTGCCCCGGCAGGCTTTGCCCACACAGCTATTATGAGACCCACGATGTGCTCCAGGCATTAAGAGATGCTTTGCTGGTGCTGTGTACAGCACAGCTTCAGAGCCAGCACTCATGGGAGGGAAGTTGCAGAGAGTGTTTGAGAGGCTCCAAGCGAGCGTTGCAGCAGGGCAGGGAGTGGATCAGAGACAATCCTGGGGAGTAAAGTGTGTGTTTGAGGCATCTGACAGAGGGTATCGTCAACAATACATGCCAGGTATCCATAGCTGTACATTTTGCAGTCACACAACTTACAAACTGCAGAGACAAATGAGCCTTTACTCCACCAGAGAGGGTGAAAAAGCCACTGCCAGGTCAGTGCAAAGCTTAAGTGCCCAACAAGGCTTGAAACCACTGCAATCAGTGCGAACTCCCAAATAAAGGCTGCCTGAGCAGTCCCACAGGCAGGTTTCCTGTGCAAGAGGTGAGCTCTCTACAGCTGCACAACTGCCCTGTCCCAGCCAAGGAGGACCCAAACTTCACCTTTGGTGCTACAGGGCTGGTTGCAGAGCTTGGGGAAGTGCAGCAGAAGAGGTGAAAGCCCATCCCTACCTATTCATGAAGTCACTTCAGTAGTTAAGTGCTGACCTGGCACAGACTGCAGAGCAAACCCCCAAGTCCTGAACTGAAAGGGCTAACGGCTGCCAGAGAGGAGGCTGCACAGCACAGAAGGGGTGTCTCACACACCCCCTGCCCTGAATTGAGAGCTGAGGAGTTCCCCCATCCAGCAGACAGAGCAGTGGCCCCGTAGCAGAAAGCAGACCCGCAGCCCTTCAGGTCTCTGGCTTATACCTTCCTACAGACCCTGCAGCTTCAGCCAGGATGTCTTTGCTGCTGCTTTCCTCTAAACCCAGAAAAATCTGAGAGAATTAACCCATTTCCAGAGGGATAGCTTTGTGGATGAATAGAGGCAGTGGCAGCTGGCAGCAGTGCTATTACAATGTTAATTCCTTTTGACTTGCCAGCATTAGAGACCAAACATCCATTGTCTTTCTTTGTCTTTCATAGGAAGAGCTTCAGGATGGACTTGCTGTTTGTAAAGAGTTTTAAATGCACTAGTCAAAGTTTTACAGCACAACCTTAAACTCCTCAGAGCTGTGTTTTCCTGTTCTGGGGTGAAGCCTTGCCCCTTCAGGAGGTAGATACCCTCTTTAGGGGAATGGCACCTGCAGAGGTTTCCATGAGTGACTCAATATTTAGGAAGAGCCTGAATAGTAACAGCAAATAGCACAGACTACAGTTAATACTACAGACAGACAAGAGGGTTCTCCTTCCATATTTTAACCAAACCCTCCTGCTCTGTCACTAAACAAGCAGGTTTTATCTCACCTTCCAGCAAGGACCCCTGAAGGATTTCAGAAGCAGAGGGGCAGGTCCTTGCCAGCCTGGTCTCCAGCATAACCAAGAAGGACTTGGCTTACCTGTCCGAGGTCCAAGGTGACATTGACCTGGTTGAACTCCAGCCCCCGGGACAGCGGGGGGCTCTGCCACCAGCGCTCTGTCCCATCGATGGCATTTGTAATGGGGTGGGCCTTGTTGCTGTTTGCAGAGGAGCAGATGTCGCAGTACTGGCCCTGTTGGAAAGAACAAAGCCAACATTTAGCTGTAGCCAGGAAAACATGGCACAGAGCAGACAGGTATCACAGCATGTCCAAGCATACAGGGCCACAAACCTGCTAATGCGAATCAATATATAAACTTTCTGTTTGCACCAACTGAGAGCACAGAAAGAAGAACAAGAAAAAACTCAAACACCCCACAACCACCATCCAATGTAGAACTTGGGCTGCTCTAAGGAGCACCCCTTCTGAATTTCAGATATGCACCGAGTGTTGGCAAAGGGACTGTCACAAAGAACTGGTTGCCAGAGGCAGGAGGGTATGGAGAGCAAGAAGCCCCACCACAGTGCAGAGCAGTGGCTGCAGCTCTATCTCCTCCACTGAGAATGCCACTCACACCCCTGCCAACACCCAGAGATCCTGACCCAGCCCATTCAGCCATTCCTATGGACCCAGACTGGCAGTTCTTCTGCCCAACTCCCTGCAATCTGTTTCTTGTCAACCTATTCATTTCATGAGTACAGTCCTTTCAGCTACATTTTCAAGCTTAACAAGTTCCTTTTGCTGGTGATGCTGCAGTGCCAGGCCAGCAAGGGACAGCCCCAGCTGCCAGCTGGCCAGCACTTTCCTGCCTTGTTTTTTGTGGTGCTGGCTTGCCAGTTCCATGGACACACTTCCAGAGCAAACAACTCTTCAACTTCACCAGCACCTCCTGAGCAGGATCAGACAAAGACCCAAGCTGTTAGGGGCAATTCTTTCTTTCCCATTTAACGCACAAATGGATCTGACCCATTCTTAAGGAAACCTGCTGATAGATAGCCCTGAAAACAGGCAGGTTGTTTTGTGGAGCCACTGTTCTGCCACTTGAATTGCTGCTACAAACAGCCTAGAAGGGAAAATCTTACAGGCAATTTTCCCTTAAAGGCACACTTAGGCAAGCCAGCTATCCTTGCCTGTCCTCAGCTTTAGCAGTATACCAAATACATGATCTCAAGACAGGCTTAGCGCATCTGCATCCCTACAAGCGCTGAATCACTGCAGAGTGTGTGATTTTCCAGATGCCCCAAACTCTGGAGGAATCCTAGTGCAAAGGAAACAGATTTCACAGCATTCTTCCCCACAGACATATATGCTGTGTTATTTGCAGGCAATCGTGCAACACAAATTGTCCTGAACAAGAACACCATTTAATTAACACCTCTAGAGAGATGAAATAGCAGATGGCCAAGCACAAGGCCAAAGGAAGGGGCCAAAGGTAACCCTGACACCCATGCAGGGAGCTCCTGCTGCACAGAGAGGTCAGGACAAGGCTCGTTTGAACATGCACGGAGTGAGGAGGGAAAGCAGACCAGATAAAACTGACCCAACTCTTCAGCTCAACCCTTTAATGGGAACCGGTGCAACAGGTTGTGTGGAAATTGCTGCTGCACAACACCCAGTACTGAGGTGGGGGGAGATGTGAGGGAGGTTACAAAACGGGGATAAATAACAAAAACCCCAGTACTTTCATACTTTACATTCTTGCCACAGATGTGAAAGCCATTTTGAACCCAAAGTTCACTGATGGGAGCCAGTCGGTTCAAGTTGAGTGAGAGGGGACTAAAAACTAGGATCAGCTGCTCCCCATTTGTAATGCTGCTGTTCCCCCTCCCCAGTGCACCATGAGCCGCTACTGGGCTGGTAGCACATCAACAGCTGAATTAAGTTTGCTATTAAAAGTGCCATCAGCCCTTCTGCTGCTCCATCTGCTCAGTAGTTGTTTCATTAGAGCCAGACCTACACCTGATGAAACCATTTCCAGCTGTTTGTGTTATGGAGCAACTCAGGCTCTGGCACAGCACGTCAGGTCTCTGCAGGGAAGGGAGAAGGCCTGACATCAGCAGAGGATTTGAATTAAACAGCAATTGAGAGCTGCAGGCTTCGCAGGGACAGCAGGTTGCCAGAGCTGGGGAGGTGTGGATACCACTAACACGCCAAAGAAAGAACTTCAGCAATGCAAGAAGCTGCAAGGCAGCTCAGAGAACATAAAACTGCCACTATTGGAGCTAACTCAAAGGGGAGAGATAAGGAGGGGGTTTGAATGGAGCACAGCTTCCAGAGTCCCGATCCTGTTCCCGCTCAAGTCAGTGGGAACTTTGAAGTTTCCTCTGAGCATAAAGACCAGGCTGGGCACCCCGCTGGCACCGCTTCCCTCGAGGAAAGCAGATGGCTTTGTCCCAGTTTATCTGGCCCTGCCATGACCCAACCTCAGCTCTCCTCACCTCATTTATTGGAAAACCGCAGGGAGCGTGGGGCAGGCTGTGCTGCTGGGATGAGGTAAGGAAGGCAGGAAATGGGATACTTCAGACATAGAAAGTACATGCTTGTGAGCTGCTATTGGGGCTGTCCTCTCAGCTCAAGTAACTGCTCACAACAGAGTTAGGCAGGTGCTGACTCTCCAGGTATCTTTTGTGAGGGCAGCAGCACCTTGGTCTAAAAACTGTGATGTTTTCAGCTGCAGTTAAACCACTGAAGTCCAGTGGTATCATATATGTGAACACAGAAGAGACACGTACAGAGAGGTACAGCACCAACTGACACCCAAAGCACAGATTGCCTGCAGCACCATGCACAGGGCCAGATGGTCATTGCCTATTGCAGGGCATCAAAAGAGAATGCCACTTAATCCAGAGACATTCAGGTTCAAACCCCATCTGTGCCCAACACCACAAAGAGCAAGAGGACAAGACCTCCAGTCAGCACCAACACCATGCAGGCAAGCACAGCAATTCCATGTGCATCCAAGTGCTCTGCACCAGCAGGGCTTAGGTGAAGACAGGTTTCAGATGAAAGCAGGAGCAGCCTTGATCTGAAATCAGTGAGGTTTGCTGCATGTTTTTCAATTCCAAGGTCTATAATTGCTTCAATTAATGCCAGTAACTTGCCTTATTGTTGTACTACTTATCTGAACTAAAGCAATCATCCACAGCCCGGCCTCACCAAGAGCAGTGAACAGTCCCTGCCAGCTCCAGCAGGTCTCTGGAGCAACCCCCAGGCAGTGGGGTGGGATGGGGAACACAAGCAATGCCTCTGCAGAGCTGGCTCTGTCTTGGAAGACAAACAGCTACAAGCATCTTCAGTAACGCTTGCTCAGATAAATAAACCTATAATCTCTTCTTTTGCCTCATCTTTTGAGACATTATCATGAAGGCGGGATTGCCCGTGGGACAAGGGAAGCAAGCCTGTGTGGCGAGTCCCTTTCAGCACACCTCAGCATTGCTGCACATCACATCCTTGCAGGCTGTAAAGCCCCCCCAGTTAGAAACACTGTCTTCTGCCAAAGAGCCCTGAATAAAGCAAAGGGGACTCCTTGAAAAGATTTACAGCCTTCCCACAAGCTGTGCCAGAAACACTGCAAGTGTCTTTAGGGCAGCATTATTTCAGGAAGCTCAATGATTATCGACATTTTAAGACTATCACAGTTTGAAGTCAATGAACTCTCCTCCCTGAAAGCCTTCTACAGCGTCAAATGAAAACAAGCAGAGAACAGAGACCTGACTGAACTCATTGACTAGATGAGCGTATTCATGTTTACGCTGGGTCTTAGGTCAAGCAAACGTCCCTTCACCACCACAGCACGTGGAAATCTCCCAGAATTCCTGACCAAACTTCCCTTTACACCACAGCTGCACCATGCAAAGCAGGTGAATGGAGAGGGGAAGGGACACGCAGGCAGTGAGGACATGCATGTGGAGTTCATTATTGTTGTTTCAGGCTGCTCAAATTGAACACTTCCCTCCCACCTCCTGCATTGCTTTAGTCACCGGGTGGTGTCGAAACCCCTAAAGGGAATGAATTGGGAACTCTGACCCCTCCCGTTTCCTCTCCTCCTGTTTAGGTGCTGCCTGTGGTCACGGAAAGAAGGCACCACAAAAGGGTTTTTCTAAAGCTTTCAGACTGACTGAAGACCACTGGCCTGGGAAGTGGTGCTCAGACCAAAGCAACCCTGTGCCAGAGCTGCAGAGGGGATGGGAGGGGGGCACTGCAGAAAGCCAGGGCTGAGGAGCCCTGTTTGGCAGCAGGGGGAATCCAGGAGGATGTGCACACCCTATGGAGCCAGGAAAGGGCTGCACTCAAGATGAGTTATAACTTTGGTGAAGACCAAAGGGTTTGTTTTAGCCACCAGCATCCTTCGTGTCATGCTAAGCTGGCAGTGTGGCCAGAGCCCAGCTGGACAGATGTGGAGGGATAAATGCAGAGCCACATTTACCAGCTTTTCTGTGCAGTCTCACCCTCCCAGTTTTGCTTGGCAGATCATTCACATCTATTTGCAAATGCACATAGCAGTTCTTCACCTGTTCTTACTACCTCTGCCTTGCTGCAGGCATGATTACTGCATCAAGGTTCCTGCAAGCCTCCTGCTACTAGTACTTAAAGCAAAGCTTCTTCAAGCAACATTAGACTCCAGCAAAGTGAAACAGATCACTTGAAATGGTGGCAAAACTCAGGAGGATGATGTCAGCTTTCTGCCACCCAGTAGCATCTCCAACAACTTCTACTGCACACGGAGCAAAATTCCATGACATAACCACACAATAACCAGAAAATTCCTGGTATAGCACTAACTGGGGAGAATGTGGCCAGAATGAGAAAAATGCTTCAGAGATGATGTTGTAACAAAGCCATCCCTACACAAAAGGCCAAGAAAGGCTTGATCCAAGAAACCAAGTTTTCCCTTGCTCTTCCTTACTGTTACATACAACACTGACAGCCCTTCTGCTCCATTGCAACAGATGAACTGGCACCACCAACCGCATGAATCACAAGCAAAAAGCTCTAGCAAGCAGCAGCTCCAGAGCAGGCTTGGGCTGCCCTGGGTCTGGAGTTCCTGCAACTAAAATTAGTGGTTTACAAGACCATTTACAACTGCTCTTTCTTCTTTTCAAGAGAGCCATAGCTGTTAAAGTGCACGGCCGTTTTTACCATCTGCATTCCTGGCTGCAGGCTCCTTCTGGTCCACTTAAGACGGGATCCCT